AATCCACTTTGACATGCGCCACCCTTAAGGCCATTATCAGGCCGTGCTACCAACGTTACAAGCCTCTGGAAAGGGAGTCTCGCTCTGCTACCTCTGCATGAGAGAAATAAGAGACTGAAGCCCATGAGGGTGAAATGTCTGAGCCTTTGGCACTTATTGTCGTCATTTGTTCACTGTCAGTCACGAAGGGTCTGTGGTGAATTTAACTAGTCAGTTTACAAACACGGCTTTAAAAGATAACTGAGCTCCACAGCTAATGCAAGGCCAAAGAACTTTGTTTTGCTTTAACCTCACTTAACTAATCTAAAATATGACTTAACATCGGAATCATACTATTAATAGAAGTAGTGTATTTTAGTAATGCTTTGGTTCTTAAGAATGAAAAATTATGCAACAAAAATGGATCCTGGTGGAAGCACAAACCAAACACGCACACACACACACACACGCGTACACAAGCAATGATGCATTCGAGACAGACGTCTGTTCGAACACTCCACCATTTCACCTATTTGTCTACCGTCGCAAAACTGCTGCCCATTGCCTTTTTCTTTCCTCCCATTCCCCTTCTCCACCTCCGTTCTCCCATTCGTCCTCCGATCAAAGACAACGATGCCTGGAAGCAGTGCCGATATTGGCGGCGAAAAGAACGAAAGGTAAGGGAAGAGGGAGAGGGGAACCGCGACCAGGAGACGGAAAAAAAGAACATTACTTGTAAGGGAGTGCGAACGCGTGAATGGAACAGAAAGCCAAGATGAGGGAAGGATCAAAAGCACGAAATGCAGCACATTAATTCCTTTGCAGTGGACGAATTTTTGCAGGAAGAAGTAACTTGGCTCCCTTTTGCCTCTCGTACTGACGCCACGGGTACACTGCAAGAAGGCAAATTTCGAGTGCATGGCGTAAGTAAAGGAGGAAAGGAAAAACGATGAATGCCGTGATCTTTGGGCCAGTTTCGCAGGAATAAAGGCAGCCTGAGCTCGTGATTGAAGCTTCAAGTTGTACTCATTATGGAAAAAATCAGTCCATTGTAGTTAAAAGGTGGAAGATAACGATAAATCTTGTCGGTGGTTGTGTCGTTTGCGTAAAGAATTTTCTATTTTTGACTTTCCATGGCTCAGCTGAAGATTCAGAAAGACACAACAAATTTCCAATTTAAAACAATGAAATACGTTTTTCAACGTCGAATGTTGCTCCTATAACCGTCAAGTGCATGCAGTGCGGGAGTTTGGATCCACTTTGTGTTGAAGTGTCAACAGCTTCGATCACAGTTTTGGATCCTGATTTGCACTTCCTTCTGCCTGCTTCACTTAACTAACTCTCTTTCCCATAATGATGGGCAATTTGGCAGAGCTGACGCCTGAGACAGAGTAGACGAAAGGTAGCTTCACTTCTTTTACTTAAGAATCCGAAGTTTCGTTTCGGCGCCACAACATACATATCTTCTACTTCTAAAAACAAAAAAAATATCAGTTAAATCTTATTTTGCGATATGTCAAAAAAAAGACTTAATTACTTAAATCGCCTGCTTTAACGATCATACACAGCTTAATATTTCTCATGCCTGTTAAACTCGAGTGGAAAAGGGAGTTGATGAGGCCGATCTCATGCTTTAAGACGAGTTCTACTCCGCAATTAAACGATGACTTTCAAGGACCTCTTGCGTGGACAGTAAAGTTGTGCCGATTTATGATAAGCACAAGCACAGCATCCCCAACTTCATCTCCTATGGCTTAGTGAAAAACACTTCCCTCGATGTAGTCTTCCCAACATCTGAACATCAATGAAATTTAGGGCTTCTATTTTATTACCTCGCCCTTATATTGGGTTGGCACCTCTCGAAAACATGG